ACAACAGCTCCCTCCTGAGGTGTCAAGGGGGCCTCTTGGGGCAGCTGACGCTCAGCCCAGACCTAAGCCGTTGTTCTTGTCTTGGCAGGAAATGAGTCTGAGAAGCTTTTAAAAAGATATCAGTGCCTTGGTCGAATGCAAAGATCTAGCTTACTGGGTTCGGGGCTGGCATTCAGCTTTGTCAAACTCCTAGGGAGAGTGCCTGGGGAGCGGAAGGCGGCCTGGCAGAGGCAACCGCACAGAGCCGGTCCCGGGCAGTGGGCAGGGCCAGCATGGGCAGGGCAGGCAGGCAGGGCGGCAGGGCAGGGCAGGGGCAGGGCAGGGCCACAGGGCAGGGGCAGGGGCAAGGTGCAGGGGCCAAGGCAGGGGCAGGGCAGGGCAGGCCGGTAGGCTAGGAGCAGGGGCAAGGCCAGGGCCAGGGGCCGTGGCAGGGGCCGGCGCAGGGCCAGGCAGGGCCAGGAAGGGCAGGGCAGGCCGGGCAGGGCGGGAGGAGCGCAGCGGCAGTGCGGGCATGGGCAGGGGCAGCGGGGCACAGGGGATAGGGCAGGGGCAGAGGGCGGGCAGGAGGCAGGGCATGGCGCAGGGGCCGGGCCGGGGCAGAGGGCAGGTCAGGGCACGGGCAGGGCAGGGGCAGGGCAGGAGGCCAGGCGCGCAGGGCAGGGCCAGGGCAGGGGCGAGGAGGCAGGGGCAGGCAGGTAGAGGCCAGGCAGGGGCAGGGCGCGGGGCAGGCGGGGGGCCAGGCAGGCCGAGCAGGGAGGGCAGGGGCAGGGCCAGGGGCAGGGCAGGCAGCGAGGGCGGCCGGGCAGGGGCAGCAGCACGTGGGCCAGGCAGGGAGGGCCAGGAGGCCAGGTGGCAGGGCAGCAGAGGCGCATGGGGCAGGCAGGGAGGGCAGGTCCGGAGGCAGGGCGGCCGGGGCAGGGGGCCGGGGCGGGGCAGGGCAGGGCGGGCGGCGAGGGGCATGAGTGTGCCTATTTCGCGGCCGGGGCAGGGCAGGGCAGAGGGCAGGTAGGGCAGGCAGGGGCAGGGCAGGGCCAGGCAGGGGCGCATGGGGCAGGGCCAGGCAGGCCGGCAGGGGCATGGGCAGGCGGGCAGGGCTAGGCCTCTGGGCAGGGGCAGGGCGGAGGCGGGGCGGGGCAGGGGCCGGCCGGCAG